TTTGTCTCAGTGCTGAAAAGGCAATGCTCGGCTTCTGCTTGGTTTCCCTGACAGCCCAGCTGAGCTCTCCTACTTCTTCCATATTTCTGTTTAATCAGTAGGACAAGCACAGGTCCTAATCTATGAGGGTTCTTTAATAAAGCTATATGTATACATTCATTTTGGGGAAAAGTAAGCAATTCTTGGAGGATATAGAGGTCAGTGATGCTCAAGATATTTTAAAATGCAACAAAATGTTCTGAAATGTGCTGCATTTATCTTAAAAAGCAGTATGGAGGCTGGCCGTGGTGGCTCACGCCTGTAATCCCAGCACTTTGGGAGGCCGAGGTGGGCAGATCACGAGGCCAGGAGTTCAAGACTAGCCTCACCAACATGGTGAAACCCCGTCTCTACTAAAAATACAAAAATTAGCTGTGTGGTGGTGTGCACCTATAATCCCAGCTACTCAGGAGGCTGAGGCAGGAGAATGACTTGAACCTGGGAGGTGGAGGTTGCAGTGAGCCAAAATCATTGCACTCCAGCCTGGGTGACAGAACGAGACTCTCTCTCAAAAACTAAACAAAACAAAGAGCAGTATAGAGTTTTGTTTATTGTGGTATCTGTGGATATGTGTGTGTGTATTTATAAATAAATAAAGGTTTTCTTGATGTAGAGATACTAAAAATAGGTAATAAAGCCACGCATAATCCCATGAACCAAAGAAAATACTGTTTTCACGCATAACCTTCTAGCCTTTCTTTGCAAAATGGTATGTATTCTGTTATAGCTTTACTTTTTTCATATAAATTATTTGTATACAAGCATTCTAAAATTTCACCAACTGTGACATTCTGCCATTTAATTATAGTTTATGGTCTTGATATTTAGAGGAAAACAGATTTCTCCTCCTTACATTAGTTGCTCAGGTCCCAGTCACCAGCAAAGAATTTGCCATTTGTTTTTTCCGAAATGACACTATTTTAGTAGGGAACTTTAGATATTCAAGTCCCAAGCTTTTCTTGCTCCTGCAGATCACACTTTGAACAAACACTTCCCTGGAAAAGTTTTCTAGGATCCCTTAGAAGTAACATGTGCTGCCCTCTAAGGCCCTAAGAGTGGATGCTGCCATCCATAAACTCTTCTGCCTCTTCTGAAAGTTCTCCTTCCTTACCCTGAATGGACCAGACAAACCCATTAAGACAGGTGCCGTTTCTGCCCATATGCCTTATATGTAATATGTGATATGATTTATAGAACACAAACTTCCTGTTGCCACAAGGCATACAAAGTGTTTGCTTGTCTAAGGAAAACCACGGATATGCCATGAAGTATGGGATGATGTTGCTTCCTGCAGCCTGGCTTATCAGCAGGGACATGTCTGCAGTTAACCAGTTACATACGTGCTATCTCCTTTGATAGGTCTTGGAGCATTCTGTCGTGTCAAGCAGTGACCTTTTGAGTCTTTTCTGTTAGGTCTCCCAGCTGTTTTCAATCCATCGAATAGTTTGGGCTAAAATAAATTATAAATTGTAATAAGGTTTTTCCAGCATTCATATGTATTTGATTTTAAGATTTAATGACCATGTGGGCCTAAAACAAATCTTTGAGTTCTTCTTTTTAAAAAAGCAATCAAGTGGAGTCTCTTGATTTTGACTATTTAAAATATTAATTTGTGGTCGTAACCTGCTTTTGGGCTGCTGTGAAAGGTATGGCTTTTTAAAATGAAGGTTTTCAGCAACTAGCCAGCAAAGAGGAACAAATGCCTCTTTAAACAAAGATTTTTTTTTTTTTTTTTTTGAGACAGTGTCTCGCTCTGTCACCAGGCTGGAGTGCAGTGGTGCGATCTCGGCTCAATGCAGCCTCCACCTCCCAGGTTCAAGCGATTCCCCTGCCTCCCGAGTAACTGAGTCTACAGGCGCCCACCACCACACCCAGCTAATTTTTGTATTTTTAGTAGAGACGGGGTTTCGCCATGTTGGCCTGGATGGTCTCGATCTCTTGACCTCATGATCTGCCCGCCTCGGCCTCCCAAAGTGCTGGGATTACAGGCGTGAGCCACCGCACCCAGCAAAACAAAGATGTTCTTATTTGTTGTAATATACAGTTTGTTGTGGCAATTGGACTGGGATTTCTGGAATATTCCATGGACTACTTCCTCAGAGGAAACAGACCTTAATTGGTTACCCCTATATCCTTCAGACTGGTTGACTTTGTGCCGTTAACAATGAAAGGGCCATTAATTAATGAATATTTATTTTTCAATTAGTATTTTATTGTCTCAGTGATATGTGAAAATGCTGGTCTTAAAAAAAGAATTCTAAATAAGGCTAAAGTCTCCTTAAATGAGTCCCTCTGATCCTTGCCCCTCCTTGCACTATTGAACATATCCCCATTATCCATTTGATGTGGACGTTCATGGAAGGCAAAAGCCACGCGTGTGTTTGAGTGTGTGGAACACCTGTCTCCTGCTGTGCCTGCCATTCTGCAGCGTGCCATTTTACTGAACATTATGTTTTAAAGATTATGTTGTTACCTGTAGAGACAGCTCATTCCTTTTAACCTAGCTTTGTAGGTTGGCTGCCTCACAGTTTTTCAGAACTTCCAGTTGTGTCCAGTTTTCCTTTCTACCAACAATAGTGCACTGAACATCATTGTGAATGCACCTTTGAATGTACATCAGTAGAGAATGTAAAATGCCCCTTATTTTGTATATGAAGCTCCTAAGAGAAGAGATTTGAAGATCGGCCACAGTCTTACAAATAATTAGCAGAGTGTAGATTGAAACCATTTTCCCTGACTCTGCTTACGTAATGGGGGATTCTTTCCAAATTTTCTTGTCGGTCATTAGGATCCTGGGGAGAGTCAAGTGCAGTAAAAGATAACTATGGCGAAACCTTACTGATTCCAGTTAACTAAGAAGGTCTCTCTGAATTAGGAGAAAATATGAATTTAAAGATGTCATCTTATATAATTTTGAAGTTTGTACAGTGACCCACACTAATACAACCTAATAATATTTCTTAAGGGAATCACATGAGTAAGTCAAGAAAAGCACCTGATCATTATTTAAAAAAAAAGACATATCAAAATTGTTCAACACAGTTATTTGTATCCATAGGTAAAATATTTTCTCCTATAACCTTTTTTATATTTTAATATGCTTAGCAGATGATTTTTCTCTAGTTAGTGCAAGATAACCGTACCACTTCCTTTCTGAATGACGTAAATTAGCCAAGGAAGGAAAAAAGGTGTAGTCATTTGAGTAACTCCTCTGTGCCAGGTAGGATGCTCTTAAACATTTTCTCTTGTTTCATTATCTTAATAATCTTATGAAGTGAGTCTTACTATTTTCACTTCATAAATGGAGAAACTGAGACAGAGAGGGCCCCAAAGCATTTTGTTAACAGATGCCTATCTGAGTTTGCCTGACTTGAAAGAGTAATACTCAACTGTATCAGAGTTTCCTTAAATACGGTCCTCGGATTCTCTGTATCAGAATCTCCTGGAATTTTTGCTAATACTGCAGATTCCACGGCCCCCAAGGGTGGGACCTGGGCTGCTGCATTTCTAACAAGCTACCAAGTGTGCTTTATGCCCTCTAAGGTTTGGGAGCCAGACTTCTATGGTGACCTCATTTTGGTGACGCGAGGAACCTTGCCAGAGAGTGCCCCCGTGCCTCCCAGCACGAGTAATCCTCATCATGCCTCACTCCCAGTGGGCATTTTGCAGGCTCATCTGGACTGCTTCCTCCTTACTCACCCACTTGCCTTGCCTCACCTCATATTGCTTGTGCTGAACTTAGCATCGCTTATGGTTTGACAAGTCACTTCCAAAAGAGTTGACATCATCACACTCCCTAGGAATCACTTTCAAAAACAGGTTGAAATCTCCAGTGCAGCATCACCAGACCCCAGGCTTCTCTTGTGTGCTTTACACAGATAGAATCTGCATTTTGCATTGTAACTGCTGCCCAAAGGAAAAAAATCAAAAGAGGCAACAACTTGCAGAAATGATTACTTTTGAAACACCAGTATACGCTTTATTTTCCTTTCTCGCCTGTCTTTCGCTCCCTTCCCTGGTAGTAGATTTCCCGTAAGTCTGCCCCTAATTGCTCCTGACTTCCCTAGAATTGGGGAGATCACTTGTCCCTTCCAGCTCCAGCCCTCCCACTAAGGGGGCAGGGTTTTGGAAGAGCCACCTAGATTCAATGACCACCTTTGCCTTTCTTTCTCCATTACTATCTTTTTCTTTCAGCTTTGTGCAATTTTTCTTTTTCACTCCCAAATGACATGCTTTCCCTTTTGAAGGGCTAGTCCTGCTCCAGTTCTTTCCAACAAGCTGTGAGTAGGAGGTTGCTTGGATAACTGGCAGACATCGAGACAGACGTGTGCTGATGATCCAGAGGGGACCCTAGACCAACTTGGATTTGTGTTCATTTGTTAGCATTCTTTGTTGGCAAAAGAGCATCCGTCTTTGTTTTGGTATTGAGCTCATCCAAATAAAGCAGCATTTCCTCTTCTGAAAGGCAGAGGAACAAAAAAGAAAAGACCAAAAAAAATTTTTAATTTTAACCATGTACTCCTTTGAAACTAAATATATACCCTTTCCTCTGTCCTGATTGGTCCGTTTCAATTGACAAGTGGATCGTGTGGAAAGGAAATATCCTGGACTTAATTGTAAGTTAAGTCTCTCTTAATCCAGAAGAGCATTTGAGATTCTGTCCAAGTGTTCAATTTCCCAGGCCGCTGAGGTCTGTGAATTTCTTTTCCCAGCCTCCAGGCTGCTGCAGTACAAGTCAGCATAGCTAATGCAGATAGATCTCCTGCCTCTCGCTCTCCTCCTCCCTCTGCTTTGATTCGATATGAACAGCCTGGTAACTCCGATGCTGGGGAGAAATCTGACATAACTCTGCAGATGGCTAGGTTGCCATGGAACACCTGGGGATTGTTCTTTAAGGAAAAGGTAACATTTATATGCTAATGATTTCTTCCCCCCTCCCCTCCTTGTTGCATTTTTTCCAGGGCTGCCAGTTCCCAAGAAGAGCCCAAAGTCGGTAAGGACTTGTCAGTTACTTGGTGCTTGCTGGGGCTGGGGTGGATGGTCGGGGGCTGGAGGTGGAAGGGTACTCTGTGGGGCTTCACTTCACTAAATGTGTTTTACAGTGGATGGGGGAGACAGTAGCCGGGGCTCATTTTCTTAAGTTCTGGGGATCCGTTTGTTATAGAAGGTATTTGGGCTTGTCTTTAACTGTATAGTGATTTGTGGGCAGGCTGCAGGAGCAGGATAAAGAATGCATGTTTGAAATCTTCTCTATATAAATGCGTCCAAACTCTCCTTCAAAGGGATGAGTTTCTTAGCCGTTTTAACTTGATACAAATGCTATTGTTTCCTTTGGAAGGAGAGAAAAAAAGAAAGCTCCACCTGCTCCGTGAGTAGCATTGCTCTCAACTGGTGTTCCCAGCCGTCCACTTGTCTACCCATTCTCTCCCTTAGCTTTCTTAGGCGCCAGAGGATGAATTATTTACAAAATAAAAAGCCTGTAGGTTTAAGGAAGAATTGCTCTGCCCCATATATGTGACCATGCTCAGATGGAACAATGTTCACTGCCCCAGCACTGAGAATAGGACATTTCCTTGCTGTGGAAATGTCCTTTGTTGTTTTGCCAGCTTTAGCAGCGTTATGCTGCAGGTATAGGATTCTTTAAAAAAAAAAAAAAAAAAGAAAAAAATCAATGTTTTGCTGTCTTTTCTAATCTGGTTTCCCTGAAGATGCATTACCTAGTTGACATGTTAGCTAATAGCTTAGAGGCTATAGTGTTTTGCTTGGCGGTATGGGTTTATGCTCCCAGGGCACTAATGACAAATTAAAATGCTGCTTAACTCAAAATCTGGAACTCCAATGCCTGTGAAATTGATCTGGGTGGAAGGGGCTTCCCAATTCATTAATATTAGGATAAAGAGGGATGTTTCCATGTGCTTTAGAAGATTTGGGGGAGGGAAAATGTACAGCCTCGTGCCATCCAGGAAGGGAGAACCTTGAAAACTTTGCGGCTTACGGTGCTGCAGCTGAATTCTTTCCACCTGTCTCCCAGCCTGGCAGCACGAGGCAGAAGTTTATTAAGATGAGAGAGGGAGCTTCCTGCATTTTTAAACCTCACTCCTAAGTTCTCCAAAGAGAAAAACCTGCAATAGTTGATGTGATTCTGATGGCATAGTGCGGTGGTGATTGGAATATTGACTTCAGGGCTGGTTTCCTTGTCAGTGTGTGTTAATGTCCAGGCAGAAAAGTGCTGGTTGGTGCCCACATTGGAGCCACAAAGACGCCAAAGTGTGTGCATGTGCACATGTGTGTCTCCCTGTCCTTTGGTCATAGCCAGTAACCCATCTGCCTTCAGAAAAATGGAAGGAAATCCAGAAGATGTGTCTCGTAAGCTTGAGTTAATGTGAACCATTCTTTTTTCTCCCCCACCCCAGCCATGCTATATTGATACATGGGCTTATTTTACACACCCCATATGGAATGGAGTCTTAACAAGCAGTGTGCTGAGGGAGACATAGTAGTTTTGCACAGGTAGCATGACGTCAAGTAGCAAGGTGTTCTTTTCCATTTTGCATTCCATTTAAATTTAGTGTGCAAAAGGATTTTTGTAATTCATTTGCATTCCTTCTTCCCCCGAGTGTTTTGGAATTACCTGGTGAACTCAAAGGCTATCAAATAGGTATTGAACCTGCATTCACCAAGTCAGTTAAGAGAATTCCCTATGACAGGTAATTTTTGCAGAAGCCATGTCATTAGCAAGCAGCAAGCCAATTACTCGGGCTGCATTCCTAAGAAAGAAGCTCTCAACTGCTTTGCCCATAGTCTGCTGGCTCTTAATTACCACAAGCTAAGAGAGTGATGTGTTGCTGGGTTAGAAAAGAATAAGCCCCCAGCTTGGGACTTGTCCTTACCTGATTTCTGCGCCAGGACAGGGATGAGGGTTTTCACAGCATTGCTGGCACGCACTGCCAGCTGCTGTACAAAATTTGGGAGCTGTTGGCCAAGGTCTGCTGTTGGATGTAAAGTGCTGTTAACATCTGTGATCAGTGAGAGTCCTGTACAGGTGGGTTGAAAGCGGTTTCCCTTTCCCAGTTTGAATTTTGATGATGTCCTGCCAGGGAGACAGATGATTATGGGATTTTTCTGGTGGGGTCAGAGGGAATTCACAGGGAAGCTGGATGTCCTGGTACCAGAAAGCCATTCAAATCATGACAGATAAGGTCCATTATGCAGGATGCATAATGAAAAGCACACTGATTGTACCTGGGTTGTGACTCACTTAGATTTGGCAATAGCTCTGAGCATATGTGCACAGTGGTCTTAGCCCAGGACTGTTGTGGTTGTTTTGTTTATTTGATCAGAGGCTCCTGACAATGTTGGTTTGCTCATGTGACTGGCAGCTTCCTTTTGCCCTCATACCTTTTTTTTGTTTTTTTTTTTTTAAGGTTTTCAATAATTAAGTAGTTGGGTTTTTATTAGAACAGAAGGACTTATCTTTTTTTTATCTCGTTTCTTCTCCTGGATAGTCCCTGTAGCTTACTCTTAATAAGCAATTTCACCTGCAAGATTTAGTTTAAATGTTGAAATTGTGGTTTATATACTCATTGGGGACAATGGCAGTATCTTAATAAAATTTTATTAATTTAATACCTGGACTTTCATAACATCAGGGATTTTTCTGCCAAATAGCAGAGACAAAAATAAGACATATTTTCTGTCAGGCTTTAGACCTCTCTGGGAAACTGATTCTGTGGCCCAACTTAATCATCCTTACTGAAAACTCATTTAACTGAGACTCTCAGTCTAAATCACCCACAAGGATCTTGTGTATGAGAATTTAAAACTAAGTATCACACCAAACCCTGAATTTTAAGTCAGTATCCACCTGTTTTCTTATGAATTCATTTCCCAATTATTTTCCCTTCATCTGTCCCCTCTTTTTTTTGAGACGGAGTCTCACCTTGTCATCAAGGCTGGAGTGCAGTGGCACAGTCATAGCTAACTGCAGCCTCGAACTCCTGGGCCCAAGCAATCTCTTGCCTTAGCCTTCCAAGTAGCTGGGACTATAGGTATGCACCACCATGCCTGGCTAATTTTTATATTTTTTGTAGAGACGGGAGTCTCACCATTTTGCCCAAGCTGATCTCAAGCGCTCCTCCTATCTTGGCCTCCCAATGTGCTGGGATTACAGTCATGTGCCACCACACCTAGCTATCATCTTCTATTTCCTCCACCTACACATTCATCTTTCATCCTTTCATTCATCCATTATTCAGAAAACTAGTATTTAGAACCCATTAAATATCAGGTTTGGTGTGAAGCGCTGGAAATACTATAATAAATAAGATGGTCATGGCACCTCTTTTCTTGCAGTTTGCAAACAAACCATTTATTGATTGCTCCTTACAAAAAAAAAAAAGATTCATTGTCACAAATTTCCAAAATGTTTGTGCAGTCATTTCATCAACAAGTATTTATTATTTTATGTGTGCCAGGCCCAGTGCCAATATTTGATAAGAATTCAGCAGAAAACATCCCTGCCCTCATGGAAATGGGGAGGGAGAAACAATAACCACATCAATAGGCAGATCTACAGAGATCCTCCCCTCGTAGGGATTAAAGTGTGATGAGCGTTAATAAAGCAGAAATATAACACGGAACCAAGTACACACATAATGTAATCATTCCACTCTTAATTATAAGAACCTATAAGTCATCATAAAGTGCCAACACCCACGATTGAGTAAGTGCTGTGATTGAGCTGTAGAGTACTTTGGAGTTCCCCAGCAGCCTAGGCAACATAGGAAACCACATTCTTTACTCAGCTCTTATTGTCAGATGAAAGAAAGTGTACCATATTCACTAAAGAGACAAGATTTTCCTATTTACAAAGGAAAAAAAAAAATATCCTACAAGAAGTTTTCATATAGAGGACCCTGGATGGTGGGGAAAGCATCCAGTGCCCATCCACATTGAAGAGGCAGTCTCTTCAACAGCCTCTTTACAGCAGACATAGCAAGCTGTCTGCAGGGTAGCCACAGTGATAGGTTTTTGTTCCACTATCCTCTCTGTCCCTTTCCCCTGCAAGAGATGCTAAAAGAAATTGCTGAAAACTAGTCATTAGGAAATGTGAGGGAGATACTCCTTTTACACACACATACACTGAGTGACTCTGGCCTAGATCATCCCATTGTATGTACCCTGCCTCTTTCTCAGACTCACCCAGTTGTGTGGCACCTGTCTTTTCCCTAATGCCCCTGGGTGATAACCAGCATGATGATTGATCCCATCAAAGCTTCTACAGCCTACAAGAAGAAGCAGTGAGAGTAGTAGATGGGTGAAGGCATAGGATCACTTAAGTCAGTCTCCTTGCCTCTCACTTCCCATGGCAACTCCCCTTCTCTGCCTTTTGGAACCCTGGAAGATGGACTTTGCCATTGTATTACATTCCTTTAAAACATGCAATGTGAACCAGAATCCATTTTCATATCCAGTCAGTGCCTGCCTTTTCTTCTTCATTAACTCCTCTTGCCCACCTTTTTGGAAGAAATCATTTGACTTAGACCCATAAATGATAAAAGAAACAAACAAAAAGAAGGACCATCCTCTGCATTGGCTTGGATTCGAGTCTCTGATTTTCACACAGCCTTTAATGACATTGGCCTAATACCTCATCAGCACTTGGAGTTTTTCCTGTTGTCCATGTAAATCGCCGCAGTAGCCTTCGCTCTTGGCAGATAAGTGAACTGTAAATAATTTTGCTTTAAAATGGATCGATTTGTCATTTTTAAGCCACATGAATTCTTTTCATCATTTAAGCTCCTAAGTGCTGTCTGTATTCATTTGCTCTTCCAAGCAAATATTTTCAGTTCACTTTATAAGTACCTACATTTTGAAATCATTCTGGGAAATACTGATGAGTTGATTTTTTCTTCCCGTTTCCATTTATAAAAACCATAATGTCTTCCCAATTTCCCTGGCCTGACAGTAAGTAAGGGAATCATTCATTTCAGA